TGTCTCTCTGTCTCTCTGTCTCTCTGTCTCTCTGTCTCTCTGTCTCTTGATTGACTTAAGAGTTTGGTAATGCTGAAAGGTCACTCCACCCTAGACCAAAGCCAATATCTGGCACTGACCGGGAGTTTAAAAAGTGTTAAAGCCGTGAGGCTGATCTCGCCCGAGACTGGAAGTTGAGAAGAAGACACCGAGAGGGTTTGAGAGCCATGTTGGTTGTGCCTGTTAGACCGCTGGCCTGTGGGAGATAATAGTTTTTAAACTGAAGATGTAGATTATATGGCTGCAAAGAGAGAGAGCTTTGCATCTTACGCTCGTCGGGACCGAATGGCAAGAATGCCGAACCTTTCGATATTCTCGAAATTCAGTCCTGATGGTGAAAAGCAACTTTCTATTTTTCCCGTGGCAACAATCTCGATGTTAACCTCTCGAGCCTGGACGGAAAATGCCCCGTTGTGCCCTGGTAAAGCCCCCCGCTCCCATCGCCGTAATGACGCGCCGCACCGTGTGGCGCTTGAGAGAGTCACCCCTTTCTTCATTTCTCCCCCCTCCCAGATTATCTGTGCCACGTCTGCATTCGGAATGATTCCTTGGCAGGGGTGGTCATCGCAGACAGTGAATATCCTTCCAGGGTTTGTTTCTCGCTCCTCGACAAGGTAGGCACCTTTTCAGAATCCGCCCACCTCTCTGTTCACCCCCCCCCCAGCACTTCACCTTTCTTCTCCTTCCTGCACCCTCGAGTCGGGCCACCGAGCCTTGTTTCCTCGACCCAGGACTTTGGAATTCAGCTCATAAACTCTCCAGTCTCAGTAATGTCCTGATAAATCCTTTCTGTACCCTTTCCAGTTTAATTAATAACCCCCTTCCTATAGCAAGGAGACCAGAACTGAACGCAGTATTCCAAAAGTGTCCCCTCCTGCTGAACCAGGAGGCTCTGTTTCAAGTCCAACCTGTTAAAATATCTCTGAACAGGTCGATTAGGAAAAATAGGTTTAGTGGGGGGGAAAAATACATGGTTGAAGACGAAAATGGCAGGAAATGGCAGGCCAGATTTGTCCAGGGCCTGACACGGGAGATGCAGGAAGGCTAAGTTCCCCCTTGGGCTGGGGGTGATGTGGGTGAGGAGCAGGGGACAGAGTCTCATGGGTAGGAGGGAGGTCATTTCAGAGGGGCACCGAGGTGACCTGGAATGGGAAAGCAGTTTCGAGGGGCTGAATGGCCTCCTCGCTCCTCCTTGTTCCAGTCAGTGATTTATTTTGCCACCACTCCCTGTTGGGGGCTAATTCTGTGGCCCAGTGGCCCCCCCAAGTGTTTCAGTCGATGTCCTGCCACGTACAAATGGCCCATAGAATGACCGTGGTCCCGTTTTGATGCCCTCAGCCTCCTCTGCCACCTTGGTGCCTACTTGTCCTTTTTTTAAACAGGTCTTGTTGTCAACCCGTCCTGTCAGGTCCTGACCCTCGGGATCTTCCCATTCCCTCTTCAGCTGCTTGGAGTTCCTCCCCCTCTCTAAATAGATCGGGCCTTCTCTTTCTAGGACTTCAGCGGACTTTGTCCCTTTTTGTTTTGAAATTCCATTTCGCGCAGGGTCTTCGAGGAGACCCCCCGGTTGTTTTGGGTTTGCCTGTCCCAATAGCAGCGCCGCCTCGGAGGGGAGGGTGGGATTTGGTGCCGTCGAAGTGAAGGGCGTGGGCTGTTCGGTCCCTCCAGCACGTTCGACCCTTTGTGCTTTGAAAAGGTGGGGAGTCCTTCCGTCTTCCCAAGACGGCGGCTCCCATTTGCCTAGGCGGCAGTGGGAGGTTGCTGTGCACAGACTGAGGATTCCCCCCCC